AATTACTTGAATGTCCTAGATCTACCTTCTTAGTTCTTATTTCGCCTTTAATCCCCATTTTATGCATTTCTACACGTAAAGTTGGAAACTTTATGTGAAAATCCTGCCCTAAGAACCCAGATCTGTAGATGGCATGAATTGGATTCGAACAAGATCGAGTGTATAGTATTTGCATGTGGCAGACTCGGCGAGTCTCTCATCGAACTCGGCGAGTCGGGTCGCGAGTCCCCGAGTTTCCCCCCTTTTTCGTTTATGCCGAGTAGAGTAGTGAGTATTGGGTGAACTCGGTGAGTTGGAAGCCGAACTCACCCGGGAAGGAACTCGGCGAGTCAATGCCCTGACTCGGCGAGTTCAAGGCAACCTTCTTAGATCAAGAACAGACTCGACGAGTTGTTCATACAACTCGGCGAGTCACAACATAAAGTGTTCATCGGATGAGGATGAACTCGACGAGTTGTTCATACAACTCGGCGAGTAGGATGAAGGACTCGGACATCAGTTTAGAAGGCGAACTCGTCGAGTCAATGCATAGCTCGACGAGTAAAGACGAGATTAAGGACACTTTGACTTTTGACTTGATCAGGGGTAAAAGGGTTATGTTATCCAAGGGGCAATTAGCGGTGTTTGATTGAGTATTTTGTGGGAATTATAGCCGGAGGATTTTCGGAGTAGCAACAGCAGCAGACAATCAATTCCCACACCGATCAGCAGCTACTTTGAGGTGAGTTACCTTCCAGTAGCGGTGGGTCTTCGACCATAATGCCGACCCACCAGTAAGAGTCGTATGATGGATGATTGTCTCTGTGATATTCATCTAAGGTTGTTATTACCTGTGATATGTTTATGTGCTAGTATGATATGCTGCTATGTGCTAGTGACAGTAGGGGGAGATAGTCCCCAGATTACCGATCGATAGGGCCGAAGGGGCGGTCATGCCCAGCCATGCTAGATAGATTATGAGATATCTGTGTTATGTGGTAGTAGTAGGGGTGAAATAGTCCCTAGTATACGATCGAGAGGACCGAAGGGGAAACCAACACCCAGATATGCTAGTCAGTATCCGGTCGAGAGGACCGAAGGGGAAGCAAGCTCCCAGTTATACTAGACAGTATCCGGTCGAGAGGACCGAAGGGGTAGGTCGGGCACCCAGATATGCCTGATGATATATGCATGTTATGTGATTGTATGGTATGTGGTACGTTGGGGGAACTCACTAAGCTTCGTGCTTACAGTTTTCAGTTTTGGTTTCAGGTACCTCTTCTTCGAAGGGGAAGGAGCTGGCGCGGTAGCGGTACATCACACACCTGCTTGTATTCCGCATTATGATATCTTCCTGGGAAATTGTACACTGACACTTTTATAATTATGATAATGTTTTTCCGACGTGCAACATCTTTTGTGAAATAAAATGATTTTTGAATGATTTAGTCTTAAATGTTTTACTAAGTACACGTTTTAAAACTGAAAATTTTGGCTCGTATTTTTGGGACGTTAAATAACATATCGCATAAGGCATAAACCATAACTACTCTACTCCATTCCTATACTAAGGCCTCGCCTGTCTTGGGCCCCGCCCCTTTCCTGCTACTGATGAGTCATGGAACCCTGTCCACACTCTTACTGATAGTGAGATATGGGCCCAACCCACACTCACTCCTTTCCTAACCTGGGCCTCTCCCTTGCTCAGATATTGATGAGATATTGAACCCCACCCATACTTTGTTAATGGTGAGATACGGGACCTTGCCCACACTCACCCTCCCCCCAACCAGGCACATACAAATGTCACATAGACAACAAGTATACTCTATCATGCAAACCATTCCTTGGGCACCCGCCCGACGTTGGACCTTGGTCCTGAATATCATACTAGCAAAGAGTGCCTAGGGCTAACCCCCGGGTCTTCCTACTCATAACTACATCTACCGGCATTGTGGCCGTAGACCCATTCACACAAAGGGAAACTCACCTGCACTGCTGAACTCTGTTAATAACCCTTTGGCTGCTATCCGACAACTCCCCGAACTGTTGCTCCTCCAGCTCCCCGAGCTACCAATACCAATAACAAAACTTAGTCTAACTGTTCTCCAGAAGTCAACTAGGTCAACTCTGGTCAAGGTCCTTCTCAAGGTCAAAGTCAACGGTTATAGTTAACTTCCAGTTGACTCGACTCGCCGAGTTGTTCTACCAACTCGTCGAGTCCATGCTCCTCACATCCCAAAACAACCTCGACTCTACTCATCGAGTCTAGTAACAACTCGACGGGTTCTCCTTCAACTAAACATTCGGGACCATCTTAATCGACTCGCTGTCGTCGAGTCCATCTTCATAAGCTAAGGAGATTGCCTTGGACTCGCCGAGTTCCTCCTTGAACTCGTCGAGTACCTTGATCTTCATGTCCAATACAGATACAACCTGGTTGAGTCCTCTAATCCCAATCACTGATCCGGCTCATAAATAGAAGACTCCGGGTTTGCGACCTGACTTGTCGAGTCCATGAACTGACTCGCCGAGTCCATCTTATGACATCTTTATTTTGCCAATTCCAGTCCATACCAACACCTCCAACTCATAATTCTAGACTCCTTATGCTAGCATTGCACGTAAAGTTGCTAACTTTACGTGCATGCAAGGTGTTATTAGGCAAGAACACTTATTCCAAGCTACAAGGAAGGCCAAGGTCATGAAATGGGACCTTAGCTGGATAAAGCCAACAACTTTGAGCTTCTAAAGCTTAAGAGTGTCTAGATCTGTGTCCAATCCATCCTCAAAGGCTTAATACTCGAATTGATCTTGGAAATGGTCCAAATGCGACCAAATCTATGCTAGAAAGGGGATCTAGATGATTAACAATCAAGGTACAAGATTTTTACCTCTAAATAGTCCGAAATGCTACCCTAACTCTGGATCTATAGCTTATTCTTGCAGCACCAAGGTCCTTCCTCATTCTCCAAGCTTTAACTCACTCTCAAGGCAAGAACTAGCTCAATCAATGAAGTTGGGTGGCTAGGGTTTTGGGTTCTGGACGAGAAAGGTTGTAAATGAACCCTAGGGAAGAGAATAAGGCGCTTAAATAGGGTACCAAGTCCCCGAATTAGGGCTTCCTAACCCATAACAGACTCGCCGAGTCGACTCTCCGACTCGTCGAGTCAGTCACTTAGCCTTGCACACAGATCCTGCTCCCACTCGTTGAGTCCAAGAAAGAACTAGACGAGTTGACCCCTTTTGAATTAGGGTTTCCTTTCCTTTCTTGGTCCTTCTGATTCTGGGTGTTACATGGAGCCTGCTACTAACTTGCATAAGCAACTCAGTGGTCTTGAGCACCACCTCAGTACTCCCCATAACCCGCTGATCGACCTCACCCCAACAAATCGTGGTCCTGCATTTTCTCCAGTAGAGCATCTCGAAAGTAGGTCGATCAATGCTGGCGTGATAACTGTTGTTATACGAAAATTTTGCTAACGGAAGATACGTATCTCAATTCCCACCAAAATCCAACATGCACTCACGCAACATGTCATCAAGGGTCTGGATAGTCCGCTCACTCTGACCATCGGTATGCGGATGAAATGTTGTACTAAAATGGAGACGAGTGCCCAACTAGTCATGAAACTGCTTCTAAAATCTGGAAGTAAACGAATATTCTTGTCAGAAACCACCGATACCGGCACCCCATCTAAACAAGTTATTCGGATTTTAAAATGAGGGTTTCGTTTTAGATTGGCGATTTTGAATTTCCGACTATGATAATTGTACCAAGATACTAATGATAAGATAGAAAGTAGAAATAACTTATCTTGGAATACAATATTCTCTTCTACATCCGATTCCGAGTTGTTTCGTTTTGTTCAAAATGTAATTCCATGATATGATGAGTACTGTTTTTTGATTTTATCTAAATGACCACATAAAAAGATAATTTCAGATTAAATGGTTAGATTTTTAAGTACAAAATTCTTGATTATTGTGAATGGGTAATCTAAAAGAACACGTAAAAGAACACGTGGTTAATTAGATTTGTGAATGTGTCTATTTTTCAAGAGCTATGTACATAATATAATTGCGTCCTTGATTTTTTCCGCTTTCTGTAATATGCGTGTGGGACCTTGTACAATTTTGTGGCCATCATACAGTCGACATGGTTGGAAAGGTCTTGAATGATTGGCATGCATCCAAAAGTTGCTAGATATTTTTTAAATGGTTATTCTTTTATACAAAAACCATATATATATATATATATATATATATATATATATATATATATATATAATATATATATATATATATTATATATATATATATATATATATATATATATATATATATATATATATATATATATATGTTCTAAAAATGTAAAAGACTTATTTTTATACCTAACACCTACTTTGTACCATTGTCATCTTATCATCTTATGTATGTATCACTTTCCAAAATAACCAACATCGGACCTCCCAAGGATTTGATATATGCTCAAAATCCTTTATTAGGAGAACAAAATGAAATCCATATGAAAAGGGTAAAACATATAAAAAAAATAAACTGTATCTTGTGAACATTTTATACTGAATCTGAATCTATTAGGGTGTATAAATTGCATAACACTAATTATATTTGAGATCTCATTATATTTTGATAAATTATCAAAACCCATTAGTAACAATGCTTAATGATTTATCCTAATTAAATTATTATTTTTCTTTTCATAAGTACCTAGTCACCCTTTTCTTCCCTAAAAGACACAAACTATTTACTTAAATATAGTTTGGCTTGAGTCATTTTATCCATAATTTCTTTTAACAAAATAATACTAACCAATTTGACAATTAATCTGAGTTAGAAATGGTTAAAATACAGATAAACTATTTACAAAGTATATTAATCAAGAGCAATATATATATATATATATATATATATATATATATATATATATATATATATATATATATATATATATATATATATATATATATGACTGATTGTTGTATTATTGCCTGAAACTAAAATATTAATGATATGACCTTTAGAGAAATTACAAAATATATTACTGTTTTATGACTTTATTTCTAAACTTTGAGGGGTAAATTGTAAATAATAAGGAGTTCGAACCAATATTAACTGAAACCAGCACCACTGACTCCCTCCTTCCTCTCTCTCTCACACACACAATGGCGACGGTTCCTCTTGGGACTCATTTCCGCCATTGTTGTCGCTTAGAAAGCCCTAAAATCCGTACAAATTCCAGAAATTCTAAACGATCTCATTTGTATTACAATAGGAAAGGGAGTTTTGTGGTAAAAAATGGCGCCAAATTCCACAAGTTCAGACCTTCTTTTGATTGTAGGGTTCTGTCCACCACCGTCCGAGCTTCTTCTAATAGCTCCACCTCTGACACAGCTGTCCTTGATGCACCGTTTTCCGATGACGTCATCTCCCGAGAAACTTTTCCATTGCAACGCATCGAAAAGGTTCGTTCGAGCTCGAAATTGTGTGTGTAATCAGGTGCTTATGTTTTGGATTAGTTTAGCGGAAGTCTAATTTGAACAAATCGGAGGATAAAATATGAAGTAGTGGAAAGGGCATTGTATTGTTTATTTGGTTAAATGTAGTTTAATGGATGAAGTTCAGACGTTGATTGATAACTGGTATAATTTGGTTAGTGGCACTGAGCCACAAAATCGCCATCATAATCTTATAATTTAGAAGAATATGAGTATACATGGACGTGAGGACTATATGATTTGGGGATAGTTTGTTTTCTGGCTTTCTCTCTGTTTAGAGCCCTATATATGCACATTGTTTCTACCCGATTCTTAAATCTGCTATGATAACAATTACTAGAGTTAAAGTAGAATAGTTTTGATGTCGAATTTGCAAAACATTTCATTTCAATTTGTTGAGCAATGCAATGTTTGACATAAAAAATCAAAATGCAGCTCTTTTTTAGGCAATGGAGAATGGAGAAAAAAGTTACAAGAAAGAAACTGTAATGTGAGTTTATTGCTCTCATGGTCTTTTCAATATCAATTACAGGTGGAAGGAAAGATACTAATCAGATTAGACAGTGGTAAGGATGAGGAAAATTGGCAACTAACTATAGGATGTAACCTTCCAGGGAAATGGGTTCTTCATTGGGGAGTTAATTACGAAAACGACATTGACAGGTTTATATTATAATGTTATATATTTCAGCACTTTGAACAAGATTATAAAAACAAACATTTTCTTACTTTTATACTCAATGCCTATAGTGAATGGGATCAACCTCCTTCTGAAATGATACCTCCTGACTCTATTACCATAAAGGTATCTAGTTTCTTCAATTTTATATTGGTTTAGTTCACTTCATTGCATTTTAGTGAAATTACATTCTTGTACCTCATCTTTTCAGGACTATGCAATTGAGACTCCTTTGACAAAATCATCACCTGTCACAGAAACAGATTCAATCCATGAAGTGAAGATTGATTTCAACACTAAAAGTTCAATTGCAGCTATAAATTTTGTACTTAAGGTTATTAGTTGAAGCTGTTAGTGGTTAATGATCTTCATTTACTTAAAAGTTATGTCTCTTTTCACTTAATTACTCAATAATTTAGGATGCAGAAACTGGATCTTGGTATCAGTATAAAGGAAGAGATTTTAAGGTGCCACTTGTCGATTTCTCATATGCTAATGAAACTGCTTTGGGAACCAAACAAGGGTTTGCCATTTGGCCAGGTTGGATCATCGATTGAACAATTTCAGTTGTATTCTTTCTGCAAATTGCAATCACTAATTTTTCAAATGTCTTTTTCTATGAACAGGGACTCCAGGGGAGTTATCAGGTGTAGTGGTTGAATCAGAAAACTCAGTTTCTGAAGATGAAAATAAAAGCGATAAGTTGAAGGAATTCTATGAAGAGCATTCCATTGTAAAAGAAACTTTGGTTGAACATTCCATGAATGTTTACATAAAGAAAGATTCAGATGCATCTAATAATGTGCTGCATATGGAGACTGATATTCCTGGTGATGTCATTGTTCATTGGGGAATCTGTAAAGACGAAAGTCTGAAGTGGGAAATTCCTTCTGAACCACATCCAGATAACACATCAGTATTTAAAAACAAGGCTTTACGTACTCAGTTACAGGTATGCTTTTTTCATTAATTCTTACACTGTTTTTACCTGTAAGTAAAAACAGCAAACCTTTCATCCTTATGCAGCATGGATGCACTGGAGTATTTCCATTAGATGAAGAAACTTCCGGATTTCTTTTTGTTTTGAAACTTAAAGACACCAACACATGGATTAATAACATGGGAAATGACTTTTACATACGTATCCCAAACAAAAGCATCTCCCAGAATCCAGAAAACAACACGGATGAAGAAGCTGTTTCTGGTGCATATACAGATGAAATCATCGATGAAATCAGACATCTGGTAACTGGGATATCATCAGCAGCCAACAGGAAAACAAAAAGCAAAGAAAAACAGGAGATTATTCTTCAAGAGATTGAAAAGTTAGCTGCTGAAGCTTATAGTATCTACAGAAGCTCTGTTCAAAGTTTACCACAAGAGATTGATGAGTTTGAAGCTGTGGATGTGGATGTTGAACCACCTGTTAAAGTAAGCTCAGCAACTGGTTCAGGATTTGAGATTCTGTTTCAGGGATTTAATTGGGAGTCTAATAAATCTGGAAGATGGTATATGGAACTACAAGAAAAGGTTCAAGAATTGGCTTCACTTGGGTTCACAGTTGTTTGGTTGCCTCCACCAACTGAATCTATCTCACCTGAAGGCTACATGCCAAGGGATCTATATAACTTAAACTCCAGGTACTTTAAATTCATACACATATATAAACTTCTCATATCTTATATGCTTCATCCAACATTAATTCACACGTATTGTGTTGATCAGGTATGGAAATTTCGATGAATTAAAAGCCCTTGTCAAAAAATTCCATCAAGTTGGTATAAGAGTTCTAGGTGACGCAGTCATAAATCACCGCTGTGCACATTATCAAAACCAAAACGGCGTTTGGAACATTTTTGGTGGTCTGTTAAATTGGGACGATCGTGCGGTTGTTGCTGATGATCCCCATTTTCAAGTACAATCGATCCTTTCTCTTTCTTCACATTAAACATTTCTTTTAAAATAAAAAATCACTTTATTATTATTATTATTATTTTTTTTTATCTTTTACTTATAGGGCAGGGGAAACAAGAGTAGTGGAGATAATTTCCATGCTGCTCCAAACATCGACCATTCACAAGAGTTTGTAAGAAAAGACCTAAGCGAGTGGTTATGCTGGCTTAGGTTTACTCATCATCACCCCCTTTCTTTATTTCTATTCATTTATTTTAAAGTAAATTACATTTTCAGCTGTTGGATGTTTTTATTAAAATGTTGTATTTTTTAGGAAAGAGATTGGATACGATGGATGGAGGTTGGATTATGTGAGGGGATTTTGGGGTGGTTATGTAAAGGAATACATGGAAGCAAGCAAACCCTATTTTTCTGTAGGCGAGTATTGGGATTCTTTAAGCTACACATACGGTGAAATGGATCACAATCAAGACGCCCATAGACAGAGAATTGTTGATTGGATTAATGACACTAATGGATCTGCTGGCGCTTTTGATGTCACAACAAAAGGAATTCTTCATTCTGTAAGTATTTAAAGAAAACAAAAAAAATCTCTTAAAAGTAATTAATAATATTTTATTTTGTACATATGACAGGCAATTGAAAGAACCGAATACTGGAGATTAAGCGATCAAAACGGAAAACCTCCAGGTGTTCTTGGGTGGTGGCCTTCTCGTGCTGTTACGTTTATTGAAAATCACGATACTGGTTCTACACAGGTATTGAATTAATTAAATTAACTAACTTTAATTTTCATGTTTCACTTTTCTATGCTTTTTAATATTGTAGGGTCACTGGAGATTTCCAGGTGGAAAGGAGATGCAAGGATATGCTTACATCTTAACACACCCTGGCACACCATCGGTTTTCTATGATCACATGTTTTCCCGTTACAAATCCGAAATTTCTGCACTTATCTCAGTCAGGAGCCGTAATAAGATACAGTGCCGGAGTACAGTAAGTATCATGACCACCTTCTGTACCTATAACCTAGTTTTAAATTCCTTATGCTTATATTAAATTAAAATTTTAATCACTATTAGGTTAAAATCGTAAAGTCAGAGAGAGATGTGTATGCAGCTGTTATTGATGATAAGGTGGCAATGAAGATTGGACCGGGTCATTATGAACCCGATGGTGGGTCCCATAATTGGAAGATGGCGGCTCAGGGTAATGATTATAAGGTATGGGAAGCGTCATAAACTGCTTGATTCGTATATATGTGAATAATGAATATATGTAAAACATTTTTGTTTTCAATGATGAACATATGGTTATATTTTTAGAAAGCCAGGTGTTGTATGCTAAGAGGATTTGCCCATGAACATACATTGTATCATGTGAAATTACTTGTTGTTTACATTTCATTGATGAAATCTTTGTTTTTGTTATAGACCTTGATGATTTTATATAAAGTCATTGTGAGTTAGAAGTTGTTACTGTTAGTTTCATTCAAAACTCAAAAGTATGTGTAGGTTGTTGATTATATATGTTAAAGATTTTGATTATTAATGAGAGCATATGGATGGATACAAATTCCCTTAAACTATTTTATACAAATACATAACAAACTAGTCCTATTACTATATTGCTTCCATAATATGTTTATCCAAATGTTAGTATGTTTGTCTAACAGACAAAATATCATAGAAAGTAAAAGAGTTTTAAGACCGGAGCCTTTTAGAACTTAAAATTGAATATGTGAAATAAATTTTGTGATGTGAGAAATCGTAATAAAAAGGCAGTAATAGAGCATACTTAATCCAATCTCTATAATCACGCTTTAGTATTCCACCTTAATTTTCTCGAACAAAGATATACATAGTGTTTCTCGATAGAGTTTACAACCCATATTCTAGATCTTAATTATGTTCTTCCATAATGTTTCTCTTGTCTAATGATCAGAAGAGTTTATATTATGAAATGACTTTTGACATATAAATTCATGTATGATGATTAGAAAATCTTGAAGTTCTGTTCTTATTATTATATCCAAAACAAAGCAATGACTTATTGCTTATTAACTATATATAAGGTCTGCTGCACACTTCAACAAAATATAGAAGGTCGTCGAACAACCACTCCATATCTCTCATTTTAGTGATGTTTTGGATGGAGCAAAACTAATGAATGTGGTCTTGTCCTTGTTTTGTGGTCACGGCATTTTCACTTGGTGTCCATTTTTGTAGCAAAAAATTGTGATCACGAGATATTTAATTAATTTCTTGGTAAACCACTTATTACTAAATATATATAAGCAAAATTTTCTTATTTAAACGAGAAATTGAAGATCTAAAACAACATATATAATAAAAGATACAGTTGTTTTGGAATAATCAATAAACACAGCTAGCGATATACTAACTTGAAATTCATAATAATACAGTGTTCTACGAACTTTTGAGGAAAAAAGTTGTGTGGAAAAGAGAATCATAAACATATACAATGGGGAAACATAAGTTCGTTTTGCTTTTCACTCATATCTTGGTTTTCATGGTTCCCGTTATTTTTGCTGGTCTCTTCTCATCACCTGAACCTGGCAATGAACTAGACGACAAAGATGCTGCAATGGATGCATTTATTAATCCTCATGATCCCGACTCATTTGCAGCAGAGTTTGCCAATGATGACAAGGGGTGAGTATATATATATGTTTCTTCTTTGCATTATATATTAATTTATTGTAAAATTAACTCGCTCTTGTAGTTCAGAAAGGAGGGACCTACATACCACAAGCGAAGCAACAAACGATATAGATAAATGCTGGAGGGGAAAATCCGATTGGGCAGAAAACCGTCAAGCATTAGCCGATTGTGTTCTTGGTTATGCAAAGGGAACCACCGGTGGCAAGGGTGGCGACATCTACGTGGTGACTGATCCTTCAGACGACGATTGTGAGAATCCAAAGGAAGGGACGCTACGTTTTGGTGTCACTCGAGATAGACCTTTATGGATTACATTCGACAAAGATATGGTGATCACGCTGAAACATGAGCTCATCATTAATGATGACAAGACAATTGATGGTAGGGGCGCCTCTGTCGAGATTGCTAATGGTGGAGGTCTCGGTGTATACAAAGTGAACAATGTCATTATCCATGGGATCCACATCCACCATATAAAAGTCGTAGATGGTGGAAAGATTAGGACCTGTGAGTCGAAAGCTGGGTCAAGATCAAAAAGCGATGGAGATGCTCTTTCTGTTTTTGGTTCCACAAAGGTATGGATCGACCATGTGACACTCGATCATGGTGAAGATGGGCTCCTCGATGTCACCATGAAAAGTACAGCCGTAACCATTTCCAACTGCGACTTCAACCATCACAACAAAGTAAGAAGCATTTGAATATATATCTCAATTTAATATGCATGTGCGTTTCTTTTTGTAATCTCAAGTTTGCAAAATATGCATGAACAGGTGATGTTGCTAGGGGCAGATGATTCGCATACGGAGGATAAAGATATGTTAGTTACAGTCGCATTCAACAGGTTTAATGAAGGATGTACGCAAAGAATGCCTAGGTGTCGTCATGGTTTTTTCCAGGTTGTTAACAATGACTATATCAAATGGCAAATGTATGCTATTGGTGGTAGTAGTAACCCTACTATCTTGAGTCAAGGCAACCGATTTTTGGCTGCTGATGAGAAGAAATTAAAACAGGTATGAAAAAGCACCCATTAATTAATCAATTACCCATGCATGCATGTATATATAATTGTGTTTTTGTATCGATCTAACAAAAGAATTGATGTTTTAAAGGTGACAGCGAGGAATAACGCTGCTGAGGATGAATGGAAGAATTGGAAGTGGAAATCGGAAAATGACATTTTCTTAAATGGAGCTTACTTCGTAGAATCAGGTGGTGATATACAACCAACACCTGAACAGAGTGCAGGCTTGATTCCACCTTCCACGATACCCGTTGAGATACTCACTCGTGATGCTGGCAAACTTAAATGTCTACCGGGGCAGCCTTGTTGAAGACTCTTAAACAAAAAAGGCAATATTGATGTTTGAAGGTGACATGAAGGAATGATACCCTAATTAAGGAAGAGTGGAATTGAAGTACTAGCATAAGATGACAATTTTCCTAATTGACGCTTACTTCGTAGAATCCGGAAAAAATGTACAGTTAAGGAACCTCTGAATAGTCGATACAAAGACATCATGCTTCTGTATAATTTTATAATTTATTGTTACTTTTAGTTTATGTTTGTATATATGACACCTTGGCAATCCATGCGACCTATCTTAGAAGATTTTGTACCTCTCTTTATATATGTTCTTTTTCCTTACCACAAATCTTCATAAATGGTCCATGGTTTTTTTTTTTTTTTTTTTTTTTTTTTTTTTTTTTTTTTTTCTTCCACATATCAAGTTTAGTCCAATTTTCTTGTACCTCTCCATTGCCATTGGAAATAGCGGTCATCATCAAAACAAAACCAAAATCAAACCTGATCAAAATTAAAATCATATGATGAAAGTTAAAATCAATACCAGATTAGAATCCTGATTCCAAATCAAAATCAAAGTTGAAAATAAAAACCTGATAAAAATTCTGATTCCAAAACCATTAATTTCTATGATACAAGTTTCTGAAACATGCTGAGGTTAGAAACGATTTCAAAATCCGGGTTCCAAATCAAATCAAAGCTTAAAATCAAGATCAAATATAAGGAACCATTGAATGGAACCAATATTGTCTCTTCCAAGTCCGTTGTTGAGAAAACACAAGATGATAATAGACTTGAAAATCCAAATTGGACATATTAACACAAGATATCTAAGGCAAAATGGATGTGGTAGTGGCTCTAGCTGTTTCACGTTGGGGATGGGGAACGAAGGATAAAGATGATGGAGGGGTTGGTTGTAGTGGTTTGAAGTGGCTGGAGAAGACAATCTAGAAAAAGAGAGAAGAAAGGGTGAATGGTTATGGTTTCCAACAATTGTGACGATCGGTTTCTTGTTAGGTTTCCGGTTACTGAACATCAGAGGGGCTAGCTAGGGTTAGGTTTCGAGTGCTATATTGCTCCAAAGGGCTTTCCGAGCTCACAAACTTATATCATGAACCCTGTTTGGGTTGACTCCAAGAATTCCGGTAGTAGTAAGACGTACCCGTATGGGTGGTTCTTCAATTTTCGGAGAGGGAAGAAGGGTAATCACCTATCGTCGATGGTAAAGATAGGGGAGGTGAAAAATTAGATTCTGAGAAGAAGAAGGGTAAGTGCCTAAGTGGGTGGAACAGTGTAACACCTGGTCTAGGTTATATTTATTTTTTAAAATTTAAGGTTTTGGACAGGAACTCGACGAGTTGGGGAGCTCCAACTCATCGTGTAGAGATTTTTATAGACACAGGTTAAGCATCCTACTCGATGAGCTGGGAGCCCGAACTCGATGAGTAGGCGCTGGAAAGGAAAACCCTAATTTTCTGGGTTTGCACCATATATAATCTCCTTAAGCCTTAGAGGCTGAGCCCTTATCAGCCCCCTAAACCCTAATATCGATATTGCAAACCCTAATCTCCATTTCCTTCCATATTACGAGCTAATTGGCATTTTGGAGCAAGAGGAGGAGAAGTTGGTGGGAGAAAGGCAATGATCTAGCAAGCATCTTCAGTTTGGCACTGTGGTGAACTGTTGTGAGTATTCAAAACCCAATTTTTATGTATATGCATAGCTAGATCTAAGATGTTTTCCTTTCTCCCCTCCTATTCTTAGTTGTACATGCATGAGATTCATAAAGCTTGCAACTTTATGAATCTCCAAGGCAAGAGAGCCTCATAGTGGGTTAGATCTGACTTTTGATCAAGTTTTAATACCATGCATTTAGGGCATATTTCTTCTTTTTGGCCATTTTGCTTTCAAGACACGCACTGGACATGCATGTCCATAAAGCTTCAATCTTTGGGACGTCCTTGAGGTTAGTGTTGGATTAGTGTCTAAGGCTGTAACTATTTTTGGTAAGTACTTGACCCGGTTGTGCATGATCCTTTTGGGTTGCCTTCACCATAGCAACTTGATAGGGTGATTTAGAGAGAAGAGATATTATTATTAATGTATTATAGGAATAATATGTTAAAAGAATAATAATATTATTTGATTAATATAAATCATAAATTAATTAGGAATTAATTTGGTGACTTAAAGAGATTAATTGAATAAAGGGGTATAAACTGTCAAATATGTGAAAGTTGTATTTTGAGCTGATAACCCTTATTGATATGGGTTGGACGATTTTAGGGATGTGGATCACCTAGAAATCGTCCAAGGCCTTATCTAGGAAAGGATTTGGATTGCTTTGAGGCTAAGTTATCCAATTAGGGTTTTAAGGTGAAACCCTAGGAGCTCTCAGTATAAATAGACCCATAGGGTTGAGGAAATCGGCCACTCTTGTGATTGGAGAAACCCTAGAGCCGATTTCCCTCTTCCTCATCTCTCTCAAATCATCTTCTTGCTACTTGGTGTTTGTAAGCCATTAGAGGAGTGCCATTTGTGACTCTAAGCTCCAAGAAGAATAATGTTTCAAGCAAGTAACTCAAGGTATTATTCTAGATCTGTTTTCATATGATTTTGATTGTTAGTTTACATTAGATCAAGCCATGAAAGTCTTGGATATATTGCATGTTCAATTAGTGAAACCTAGATCCAAGCTATAGGGTTGCATGTGCACATAGGGAAAGTTCTTATGTCTAAAACCCATCAGTTAGAACCTCTCTTGAAAGGGGGTAGGCTCCATATCTCTAAGGTCTTGGGTTTAATGGTTAAGTGTTTGGGTTTACAAGGCTTGATAGAGGGTTTTTGGACTTTCGAATGGTACCAAAGGATAAAGTTGGAAACATTATCCTTTAGGTCACACTAGGAGTACGGATATGAGCATTAGAGTCCCTGGAATCAAAGGATAATTCGAATGGATGCAACAAGGGGGAAACTAGACGAGTTGCCTCATCGACTCGGTGAGTTGGATCGGGTTTTCCCGCTTTCTGGATATTGTGGGGACTCGACGAGTTGTCCTGACATCTCGAAAAATTGACTAGGATTTTTACCGGTTTTATGGACTCTGAAGGAACTCGAAGAGTCGCTAGATGCACTCGATGAGTTGGGGTCAACATGGACTGTTGACCATGGTTGACCATGTTTGAATGTAAGGGTATTTTTGGTATTTTGGGATTTTGACAAGTTTGTTACATAATGGTTGTAGGCAGTTGAGTTTGAGCTGTGAGTTGGGACTTATCTTATAGGTTTAACATTTCTTGAGAGGTGAGTCTCCTCACCATGCCAATGGGTCGAAGGCACCAAGGTCGGCCCATCTTATGATATGTGATATGTTAGTTGATGTAGTGATATGAAGTACATTAGTTGGTTATATGCTATATGATATGCTAGTTATTCCTGTGATATTGCACG